GCGAACATTTACAAGCAAACTACTGTCTGGATCAATACAGTTACTTCCTCCTCCTTTACAGTACTGGAAGCAAAGACACAACTTCAGAGCCTGCATTATTCCTTTCACTCACTATTAGGACTAAGACATAAATTAGGTTCTCTGAGCCAGATGCAAGCGACCTCTACTTGGAAATAACCTAGAATTAGCTGTAAATGAAACTGTGTTCAACCAGCACAGTGGTGTACATAATAGACACAAGACTAGTCCTGCCATTCTGTTAAGAAGTCAAAGAAATTCGCATGCACACATCAAACAATTGTGCAAGCATGTGTAGATCTGAGCAGAAATACATCCAACCCCAGGCATCCAAGTTCCCAAGTACATCTCCGTGTGCTAAGCAAAAGAAGGAAGGTACATGATCGTGTGAGTCCACAGGTGTACTTTGCTGGTTATGTATTACAAGTCTCTTCTCTGCTAGTCTACAAGGAGGAGAGACTTCACAGCCCTCAGCTACAGGGTCTTGACCCTCAGGCTGGGACAGCTGAGACTTTTTGTTCTTAGGGTCGCAAAACGCCTCACCTGAAATAGCAGTCTAAATAGCTTTCTGAGCAAATCTAAAGCACAGGAGCACAAACAGATCCATGAAAGTACACCTGTGTAAACGCAGACACACACACCAGGCTGCGTGCAACTGCAGCACAGGCGTGCAAGGACAAGCCCCAGCTCTGCAAGCACCTTCATTCATTCAGAGAGGAGCACAGCTCCAGCTTCTCCTCGAGATGGCTACTCACCCAGCCTTCGAAGCTGTTGCTGGGGCCCGTGGAGCGCAAGAGGTCCTGGAAGTGCAAGGTGCAGTTGGCCACAAAGTCATCGTAGCCGATGGGGGTGTCGTGGAAGACGGACAGCTCAATCTGATGGCCGTCGGTAACCGTGGCAGAGAACTCCTCATTGTAGGTAGGTTTGTTGGTCTTCTGCTTGGTGCTCGTCTGCCCAACGCGCACCTGGTCCACGCTGACGGTGACATAGGGGTCCAAGAGCTGGTAGCCCTTGCGGAAGA